TTAATGAAAACAAAAAGAGTTCTGTGTCTAGATAGCACTCACAAAATAAATCATCACAGTTTTTACCTTTTTACTATAATTATGTGCCACCTAACAACAGGAAGTGGGTATCCAATAGCATTCTTAATAAGCGAATTCAAAAGATCAGCAACGTTGAAAAGGTGGTTAGACTTTTTAAAAACAAAAATGAAAACTTAAGTCCAGATATATTTATGATTGATTATGCTAGTGAAGAAATAAAGACAATTGAGGAAAGTTTTTCAGATAGTTCTATATTTTTGTGTCATTTCCATGTGCTCCGTTCTTGGTATAGAAGGTTGGGCCATAAGCATGGCATGAATATTAATTCAAATAAGATGATTGTTTGGCAGAATTTATAGAAGCTAATAAGAACAAAGGGCTGGAACGATGCAAAAGCACTGCATCAAATTATAAAAGCAATTAATAAGTAGTATGAAATGGGTGACAAAACAATAGAGGAATTTGCAAAGTATTTTGAACAGTGGTGAAAACCCAAATATGAAATGTGAATAATATGCACTAGAGAGTTTTTACATAATATAATTGATACTAATAACTTGGTTGAAGCTTTTTATTACAAGTTGAAGTACACATATATGAGTGGATGTCTGGGTGTCGACTAGATGGTGAGGTTTATTTGCTTGTAGAAGTTGTTCTTCAGGATATGGATTTTTCAGTTCTCTTAAATAAGTTAAGAATTGGTCAAATGAATCCATAGCAATGTCAACAGTATATTCGACAAATTGCCAGGACGAAGCATATAAATAAGAATGATATTTACCAAATTCAATTAGATAATTGGTTAGTTTGTTCGATAACAAATAATGAAATTGAGTATTCTTTTCATAGAAAAAATTTTATTGAAAATAGTAACAATAATTCAGATATTGCATTGTATATTTGTACATGTTTGAATTTCAAGAAATGTCAACTAGGGACCTGTGGGTCGATAGCATAGTGGTTATGCTCCCAGGTTGCAAATCGGACAGTTGCCAGTTCAATTCCTCCCAATGGTGGATTAATGAAAATTCGAAAACAGAAGTAAAACACTGTGGGATACAGGGAACCTGGAATATCTACGGATAGACATATTCAGAGAATAGTTATTCTGAGAAGTTGTGGCTGTGAAGCGAGGTGTGTTAGAACCCTGATTTGAATTAACCGAAGTCACGAGACGTAATATGAGGCCGAGTCTGATAAAGATACTACAAGAACTCGTGGTGACACCAGATTGGCTAGTGAAATCTCAGTACAATAAAAAGGTGATCCAACATCTCCGGACATTGGTGCAGGTGGTTGAATCCAGGTACCCAATGTGGTACCAGAGGTCTAGGCCAGGTCTCATGCAAAAAGCACGCAGTAACTAGTCTTCAGGTTGGGTATATAACTGGAGGAGTCATATGGTCATGGCAGGACTTGCTGAAGGAAAAAAAAAAAAAAAAAAGTTAAATAGCCTGTAAATATATCTTCACTGTGTTGTCTCTACTTTGTGTTGATAACAATAACATAGAAGATGATAAATATGGTTAGAAAATTTGGTTTAATTTGTTTGTTTCTTTTTTTTTTATTATCTTAGATTTTTTTTTTTAACAGTAAATACAGAAATTGATGATAAAAATATTGAAATTTCAAAATTACAAGAAGATTTTGCCTTAATTATTATAGAATAGAAAGAAAGAAAAGCACAGGATATTCAGAGTTTACAGGAAGTTTTCCAGCAAGCTGCTCAAAATGAAAGAGCAAGAATCACTAGGATTGAGGTTGTAGCACAAGTTAATGAGAAGAGAACTCCTCAAATTGCATTGAATGCAAAGTTCAAAAAACAAAATAAATATTAATTTTTCATGTATGTATATGCTATTTGTACTTATGATCAACATTTTGAGAAAGCAAAAAGTCATAATATAGTCAATCTTTTATACTGACCCAATGTTCATTATAGTAAGTCTTTAAAGCTGATTATATTTAAAATTTCGGTAGTGTGTTCAATAAAGTATCAAAAAAAGAAATAGAAAATTTTACTTGAGTACCAATATATGCATAACAGTATTTTTTTTATTTTTTTTTAAATTACATTGCAAAAATTTATATGCTTAATGAAGCATTGAATAAAAAATTTTTAATCAAGCATTTAGTATAATAAATTTTTTATTTATTTTAAAGTTTTTTTAAAGCTGTGGCTAAATTCTTTTTTTAAATTTAATGAATATTTTTTGACAGCCTGATATCCAACTTTGATCAAATTTTTTATTTTAATTCTATGATCTCATAAAATTAAAATAAAAAAATTTTACCAAATTCTAATGGTTGGTTGTTGAAAAAACTTTGTTTAAAGTTTGAAGAAAGAAAATTTTATGACTTAGTTTTCCAAGTTTTTTTTTTAACTTTCAGTAAGAATTGCTCGATAAATACTAAACTAAATTCAATGAATGCTTTTTTTTAACTATACAGAACTTTAGAATTGAAAAAAAAAATTTACTGAATTTATTCAAATAGGTATTGAGATATGATCACTAGAAGTTTCAAAAAACCTTCATAAATTTATCAAGATTGATCAATTTTGGCATTTTTTTAAAACTTTCAGCGAAAATTTCTCAATATACACCAAACTGAATTCAATGAACACTTTTTTTATTTTACAAAACTAGAGGATTAATATAAAAAAAATTTACCGGATTTGATTCAAATAGTTATTGAGATATGATCGCTAGAAGTTTCGAATTTATCAAAATCAATTGATTTTGGCATTTTTTAAATGTTTAGTAAGGATTTCTCAACAAACACCAAACTAAATTTAATTAACACTTTTTTTTTATTATACAGAACTAGAAGATTGATATAAAAAAATTTTACCAGATTTGGTTCAAATAGTTATTGAGATATGATTGCTAGAAGTTTCAAAAAATCTTGCGAATTTATCAAGATCGATCAATTTTGGCATTTTTTTAAACTTTCAGCAAGGATTTCTCAATATACACCAAACTGAATTCAATGAATGCTTTTTTTTTATTATACAGAATTAGAGAACTAATATAAAACAATTTTACCAGATTTGGTTCAAATAGTTATTGAAATATGATTACTAGAAGTTTCGAATTTATCAAGATCAATTGATTTTAGTGTTTTTTTAAACTTTTAGTGAGGATTTCTCAATAAACACCAAACTAAATTTAATTAATGCTTTTTTTTTTATTATACAGAACTATAGGATTGATATAAAAAATTTTACCAGATTTTATTCAAATAGTTATTGAGGTATAATAGCTAGAAATTTCGAATTTATCAAGATTAATCGATTTTGGTAGTTTTTTTAAACTTTTAGCAAGGATTTCTCAATAAACACCAAACTAAATTTAATTAATGCTTTTTTTTTTTATTATACAGTACTATAGGATTGAGATAAAAAAATTTTACCAGATTTGATTCAAGTAGTTATTGAGATATGATCGCTAGAAATTTCAAAAAACCTTCAAATTTATTAATAAAATCATGATCAATTGTGGCCAATCAGCAAGATGAAGATTATCATCCAATCAGGTGTTGGGGTAAATTAGTAAAATCAGAGTTATTTATATTAAAAAGACCCATTTTGCAATATAAACAATTTTGAAATAATTGAGCTTAATCATTTGTTTTGATTTTTAGACTAATTCAGGATTGAGAAATTTCACAATTTTATTGGTTAAGAGTACAAGTGACTATTGGGTAATCTTATAATATGCTTGGCCTTAAATAGTGTTATGTAATTTTTTTTATATTATCTCTATTTTTATTATGCAAATCGCCCTTTATTAATAATTAAAAAATGTTAGTCATGTCAAAATTTACATGAATCTAATAAAAAACTCATTTTTTTAAAAATTTGCAAAACGGGCCTTTATGCAGAACTTTGATATTCGAACCTGGACCAAACTGAGTTTTAAAATAGTTCGTGTTTGAGTCCTAAAGTCTAGTTCGGTTTTTTCTGTCGAAGCCTACCATATTGTTGCAAAATATCATACAGGGGTGAAATTACAAATTTCGGCCTAAATTAAGCATAATTCGGGCCAAACCTCCAAATAACGCCCATGCCCATTATTTTGCAACAATAAGGTAGATGTAATCTATTAACAAATAACATTAAAATTGAGTAAACTTAGCTTAAAGATAAACTAAAAAGAATATTAATATAAAAAGAATAATCTGGTTAGTGGGTCATGTGAAGATAGAGAATAGCACACTGGAAAAGATAATAGATTCTATACCACAGAACCAAGAGACCAGAACATCATATGACAAGCCTAATAGAACATAGCTATCTTACAAGTATAGTGAAACATAAATGCAGTGTTTATTTTTCAGTGTGCACATATGCGGATCCAATCAAATTGCTTTATTTCAAAATTTGATTGGATCTGCACAGGTGCATGTACGTACGTGAAAAATAAACACTGCATATAACTATCATTGATCATCACTGAATGATGATAACTCCGGCCTTAAAGGATGTAAAGGATCATTAAGGTGTCTAAGGACTAGTGATTTGAGTCATTTGAAAACACTCCAAGCCCAGGGTTGTGAGCTTACATAGTCTAATGGGAAAAGGTTATTGGGCAAATATATGTCTATTGATAGTTTTTTATATGTCTAATGGTGTCTAATGGCTGTCTATTCACAACCCTGCCAAGCCTGGTTTGATCTAAGAAATATGCGCCTATTATTGTTGAAGCTAATGTTGAAATTAATAAATCATAACAACTATTTAAGCTTTAGCATCAGTTTTCGATGTAATGAAAGTTTTTTTAAAAAAAAAAATAAAATAAAATACCTAAAAAGAATTTAACCCGTTTTTTTAACATTATTTATCATATTTTTTATTATTATAAATAGGTAATAATACAGCTTCAATTAAATAATTAGAGTTGTTACAAAGAAACATAAGATTATGAAAACATGTAAATTGTAGAACATAATTTAGACTGAAAAAATAAATCATTAGCCTAAAATGTAGAGTTCAAACTTTTTTCAATTACTTTAAAGATTTCTAATCCTTCAATATCGTAATAATTATTTTCCAACAATCCATAATAAAAATTCTGCTTATAATATATTCTATTATTACCTTGAAACGTAAAGTCAAAGATATTTAACGGTTTAATTTCATTATATTTTAAATTAAAATCAAGGGCTCTTTTAATGGAAACAAATTCAATTTTCCCACTACAGTCTATTTTAAACATAAAACCATATTCAGCTTTTGCCTTAAAAGAAGGTTCATATGAGATCGAAGAATATTTTGATTTAAACGGATTGTACCCTCCAATTATATAATCAGAATCGGAAATGCGAAATGCTGTAAGTGTTGGGTCTGTGCCGAGTACTTCACGCTGTGTTGGTTCAAGAAAAGTCATTGTATATGGGTTGTTGGCAGGGTATGATTTTAAAAAATATTTTTTGGAATAAGTTTTTTTATAAATTTCCCTAACTTGCTTATGATTCAATAACATTGATCTATAGGAAGTAGAAGAAAGTTTTTTATCTGGAATATTACCGATAATCTCTAAATATGGGCATACTTCCTTATAAAATTTATATGATGACATTGCAAAAATCTGATCTCGGGAATAATATCTTTTAAAGTTGATTTCATAGAATTAATTTCTTCCTCTGACCACTTAGAAGGATCTTTAGAAAGGATCTTTTTCTGTTGAGCACAACACCATGTAATGATGAGTTTCCAAAGTTCAGTTTCATCTTGTACATAAAAATCTTCGCGTTTAAGAATAGAAAGAAGTTCAGATTCGTCTAATTCATTGAAACATTCTGAATTCAGTAATAGTTCTGGTTCATGTTGAATAACCTTATTCATAAAATCGATCAATTTTGTAAAGGTTTGATGTTGAAAACTGGCTCTATAAAAGGCAACAAAATTATCTCGAATCCATTGAGTACCATGTTTGAGAAGGTGAGTTTGTAAATCATTCACTAAATCATCGAAGTCAAGTTCGTCGAGTGCAATGAGAAGATCAAGAAGAACAATTGATTGAAGAAAATTAGACTGAATTTCTCCAGAAAAAAAATAACTATAATTAAAATAAAATCAATATAAGAATAAAATAGGTAAATTTTATTAAAAGGGGTAAAATAATTACCGAAGGATAATCTCAAAAACTTCGGGTGAAATGTTTGGTTTTTCGAACTTAATAATCCCATTTTTCTTTTTCACCCACCCTTGAGTAAAAGCTGATTCGAAATATTTTGAACGTGCGACAAGTATTTGAGAATGTGCCCGAAATATTTGAGTATTAGGGTCTTCACCTACTTTGATTTCTACATCTTGATTTTTACCGTTCTCATAAAATCTACCAAAATCGTCATGAAAATTTTTTACGTAACCCTTAGACATTCTAAAAATGTAGACATGAAAAAAATTTGAAATAATTTGTACTTTAATTTTTACAAATACATTTTATATTAACTTTTATCAAAAATATATGTATGTATAAGAATTGTGCATCACCTATTGTTACATAAATGCCTTGTTCGAAATTAGTAAATTATAGAACTCTAATTGATATTAGTCGGACTATCTATTCCTATCCTTCTAATTTTCCGATCAGCCTCAACAGCGAATTTTGAACAGCAATCTACTTCGTCAATCTTCTGGTCATGTATCTTCTCGCTCCGTTATTGTCATATATTATATTTTTTCATTCCATTCTTGATATTTTTTTGTATATACCTTACATAACGATAATATCTACCAGTACGATCACATGAAATGTGTGAGGGATGGTTTGAATAATGTTTTTTGCTGTGGTAGAGGTTGGAACCGGTTTTAAATATTCGAGTTTATCACATCAAAATTCGAGTTTATCACTCCAAAATTCGAGTT